CCCTGATTCCTGATGGTAGATTATGCCAGATTCTCACCTCACCTCTGCGGCTTCTCTATCATGCTAGACTGTACCTTCAAAATGAACTTTAACTTTCCCTTTGCCAGGTATTGTATTGCAGGAACAAGAAAAGGAACTAAAGCAATGTTGCAAAAAATCAAATTCCTAAAACTCTCAATGTATTTCAGGACTAAAAGTCCTTCATCAAAGATGGAGACACCTGCAAAGACATTTACTGGGAAATCCTGACACCATCACTAATGAGCTTAGTAAATACACACACACACACACACACACACATGCATGCGCACACGCATATCCACTACATATATGTACACATATGCATATATGTATATTTTTCGGCACTGATTTTAATATATAAATATTGATATATTGATATATATCAAAAGCAGTGCAGAAAATGACATCAGAAGGACCCAGGAAATCTGCTACATGGAGCCAATTCTTACTTTCGTTTGGACAACTCACAATCATCACTGGGAAGATCTAGTTAATGGCCTAATTTCATCATTGTAGGTCTTCTGTTTAAGATTCAACACCTGATCCAGGATTTACTTATCCTATAAGAAAAAGCTTTTTACATATCTCATCAAAAACAGAGACATTAAGCTGGTGCCTACTGAGAGGCTTCAATCCTGCCAGCGAGCATTTATGGTACTGGAAGTTAATCTGCAAGCTGCCAGAGGAGAGAGAAAACATCAAGCCAGCTACAAACTCTGTGATCTCCCGCACTGACCTGCCTGCAAAATATACTGGCACTATGTAGAAAAAAAAAAAAAAAAAAAAAAAAAAAACATTGTTAGAGTAACCAAACCCTCTCTGGTTTGATTAAAGGCCCATTCCATGAGACGGAACCCATGCTTGACACTGTTACGGTGGCCGAGAACCTGACACTAGATAACATATGTCTAGGAAAGAACAAACACTATTGTTCTGATTAAGAACCACTTTATTGCTCTAAGATGACTCCCAGTGTCATTCTGCTATCCCCATAGATCAGTGCTCAGCCATCATCAGGGAAGTGTCTTCTTGTAGTATATGTAAATGAACACAACCCACAGTTGGAAAATGTACACAGTTAGAGACTTTGAGGCACTCAACCCTAAATGGGGTGGCTTCTTCAAATACCACCCGCCCTTAGGGTTCAGGAATCTATGAAAAAGAGGAGACAGAAAGATTATTAGAGATAGAAGAATAAATGACTCCACGAAAACAGTGTCTTCCAGAAACAGCAGGACTGGTGCACACACGAACTCAGAGACTGTGGCAGCACGCACAGGGCCTGCACAGGGTCTAGCCAGACTGGGTCCCAGCACTGAGAAGGGGACATGGACCTGGGCTTTCACTCCAAACCAACAGATGCCCTCTTACAAGGAAACAATCAATTGCTTTCTCCAATGGAGAGCCTCTTCCAAAGGAAAAAATGTGTTTTCTCCAATGCAATCTCACTGTATATATTAACACATAGTTCAGGATAGAGCTCATGCCCAGCATTAGATAACCAACACAATCCAAACAACCTCAGTGGTATCTTATAGCTTCTTTGTCTCATATTGCTTTGTTTGGGCATTTTGTTTGTTTGTTTGCTTGCTTGCTTGCTTGACATGTCTTCTGCTTCCATATTATGGTTTTCAGCGGTGATTTTGCTTCTGCGTGTGTGTTCTTGGTTGTTCTTTTGTTTTATTTTGGTTTGGTTTTTTTTATTATTTTGTTTTGTTTTTCTGTTGTGTTTTTAAAGTGAGAAAAAAAGCTCATAGAGTTCGGTATAGGGGGAAGTGCGGAGAAACTGGGGGAAGGGAAATTATGAACAGCATATATTGTTATAAAAAATTATTTTCAATTAAAATATTTCAAGAAGGAGAAAGTTTTATTTGGACAATGAAATACTGGAAAGCTGCTTGAGTGAGCCAGGAAAGCTGCGTACATCCTTCAAGACACTTCATGTGGCCTTGCTTTCCCCTCCCCTAAGGACAGCAGGGATTTTCTGACAGCACCTGGATTAAATCTCATTTGAACAGGAAATGTATCAGCAAAAGAAACCAGCGAGAGCAAACGTGTTATGTGAACAGAAGGTCCCTGAGGCACCAGTGGTGCTCTCTGTGATTAAAAAGTTCCCTGGGAACCTTCCAGAAATCACCTAAAAGCCTAAGAGACCACTTCCCGCCTATGCAGTGAAGATGAAGGCCTCACAGGAAACACACATGAACATGGGTTAGCTATACTCCATCTGAAATAAAACATTCTACACAGCTGCATGAGCACACTCACACAACACAAATCATCATGAAGGCTAGACTTGAGAGAAACGGGTAAAGCAAGGCTTAAAACCTGGGCTGAGCATGGAAGATGTCAAAACTGACACATAGGAAATACAAATAAAATAAAGATGTCTGAAATTGTCAACCTGCATCTGGAAAGGGAGATGAGTGTGAAGGTAGCTTCCACATCCCTCTCCTCCTTTGACAAACAGGACATTGTACAGCAAAGATACTTCAAATTCTTCCTGAAAAACCTCCTTCTCTTCCTACAGCCAAGATCCACGTGAAGTTTGAGAGATCGCTTAATCCATTCCCCTTAAACAAAAGTAAATATCTGAGGTAAAAATTCACTTTGTTTTAGGCTCTGCAACCTAGGTGCTGTGTCACTCACTTCACTCCCTACATTTGCTGATTTTGAACAGTGGCAGTCTCTGCAACTGTGTCAAGTCAAAAGGGAAGTGCACTGTGAATTTGACATGGATTTTGCTCTGCAATACCAAGGAGTATTGGGAGAAATGAGTCATATTTCAAACCAATGATAACTTAGGCGGATTCTGGCCATCAATGACATCCTTCTGCCTAGGTGTGGATGGGTGTGCTGACTGTGAGGCAACTCTGATAGGGGAGATGTAAATGGAGAGACAGGGATATTCTGAGCCAAGGACTCTAGAAACAAAAGCTGAGCCCCAGCCAGAATGTGCAATGTGAGGAGAAAACACAGCAGTTAAGTACTGCAAAAGAAATAGAAATCAAGGTGTGGGTACGATATAAAGTTATGGAGGGCGCAGTCCAGAATGCGAAATTCTCCGAAGCTAGGACAGCAGGCTTTTCTTCCTCGCATAGTCCGTTTGCACGCATTCAATTACCCATGTAAAAACTGAAGACACCTCCAGAGCCAATGGCCAAAAATCCTGGGGGTGGAACTTAGACTGCCATGTGCTTTGTTAATCTCTACCACGAGGGACAGAAGAGAAGCCAGCAATCCTTGCAAGCGGTGTGAGAAATGCCTTGACAGTCTATACGGGGCCGCTTGCGAGGAATAACACATGTCCCTACACTCTGAAGATGGGTGGTGGTTAGATAGGGGATGGAAGTCGGATAGTAAGAAAATCACAGTGACAGTCCCCGGGGTGTGAGAAGTAGAATGTTCAGAACGAATAGGGGAAGGTAAGCAGTGCAGTGAGAACTAATCTTGAGAACAGCCCTCGGTCAGAAAAGAGTTCACTGCAGCAAGGGACCCTAACTACATTTCAACCCAAGGCCACAGGAAACTATGAAATTATGATGATGCCCTACTGCACTTTGAGAAGATAAATTCTGCAGCATGAAGAAAAGACAGGAAAGCTGAAAGATAGAAAAGGAAGCAACTGCACAATGTTTTACCCGAGGACCTAGGAAATAGTGCCGTGGGGCTAACCTGGTGAGGTAAAGCGTGAGTTTCATGAAGATGAAAGTCTTTCAACTGTGCAAATCAAAACCTAGGCACTCCACAGTTTAACACGGCTCAGCCAAACTCAGAGCTAAGAAGAATGGTCAGATAAGGCTGGAAATCTCACACAGGGAAATATTTAGGCAACTGAGTTACAACAACAAGACTGCACTTATTAACAGTTAGGTTTTAAGTTTGTGATTTTGTGTTAGGTTCCAAGGTTGGATGCATGTCCTAGATAAAAGGAGTCCCACCAATTACAGAGAAAAAGGCAGGATCCCAGCTCCTGGGTGTGAGACCCTCCTTACTATACAGAGGTTATCAATGCTGGAGCCTGCAAAGTCTGTACTCTGCCATTAGCAAGTCCAAGGAGTATGTGTGTCCAGGGGCTATATTCTCTAAGAGCACTGAATACCAGCTTTTTTTTGTTCCTTGCTCTGGAGTACTCTCCACAGCCAGTTACAGAATTTGACCTTACTGTACTACATACAAATAAAGCATGGCTTTTGCCACCACATAGCTGCTGCTTCTTCCTGAAACCTCCCCATCCTTACAAATGTCATGTAGAATTCTGGCTGCAGTTCCTCGGGCACCACCTTTTGAGGTCTCTACTGCTTTGCTAAAACATCACTGATCAAAAGCAACTTGGGTGTGGGGGAGGGAAGGGTTTATTTCACCTTACAGCTTATAGGTCCATTCAGAAAAGTCAGGGCAGGAAGTCAAGGTAGGAACCTGGAGGCAGGAACTGAAGCAGAGGCCATGGAGGGATGCTGCTTACTGGCTTGTTCTGCACGGCTTTCTCAGCCTGCTTTATGATAGTACCCAGGACTACCAGCCCAGGGGTGGCACCCCACATAGTGAGCTGGACCCTCCCCCATCAATGATCAACCAAGAGAAGAACCACAGCCTTGTCTACAAGCCAATCCTGTTGGAACATTTTCTCAATTGAGATTCCTTCTTTCAAAATGACTCTAGCTTGTGTTAACTTCACATAATAACCTCACATGAAAACGCCTGGCACAGGCATTAACCATTCTTTTCAGTATAGCTGCATTGCTAGTGTAAACCTAACACCAGCAATTGATGAGCTAGGTCACTGATGAGAACAGAAACAAGAGGGCTCACCCAAGCATATCATGTTACCAAGAAAATGGTGACATTTTTTACTCCAATAAAGATGAAACCTATGTTATTCCTCAACCACTTAATTATCTTACGACAGAGCTATGGAAAGAAACTGGAAAGCACAAAAATAATCTCAAAATGGGTGTTTTGCTGACTTGGATACTAACCTAATAAACTTGACGGCCAGACCCAGGTCTGCTATGCAGCAAGTCCCATTTTTCTTCACCAGGATGTTCTTACTCTTCAGGTCTCGATGGGCGATGGCTGGTTTGCCTTGAGTGCTAAAGATTTCCGTGTGTAAGTGGCATAGGCCGCTGACTGAAGAGTAGGCTAATTTCAGCATGGACTTCGCATCCAGCGTGGTAGACTTCAGATAGTCATAAAGAGAACCATTTTCATGATAGTCTGTGATGAGGTACAACTGAGTCCAGGACCCAGTCCCTTTGATATCTGCAGCAATAAACCCTACAAGGAAAAAGAGTAAAAGGGATTGGATGTGTTTCCTGGAGAGAATGAGGAATCATTCATGGGCTCAGATATTCTTTCGCTCCGTATGTCTTTGGTTTAACATCTTGCCCAGTTTTCTGACTATGCCCATGATAGTCTTAATCTACTAATGCCAAGCAGAGGTGATCAAAATTGGAGGGAGAGAGAGAAAGTAAGAGGTTAGGTCTGAAACTACTCTCTGATCAGTGCTATTGAAATTCCTTCCTGGTATCACCGTTAGGAGAAAGGCATGTTATACGGAAGACTTAAGCGTCACTGACTGGGTCCATTCCTACTCAAATGACCCAGGCATATCACGTCCAGCCTGGGCAAAGGAAAGGGAAATCAATTCTCAGCATAAACTCTTGCTATAAATAAACTCTGCAAATAAAAATACCCTATAATATTTCAGAACACCTAAACCCAAATTATGGTCCTTCTAGTTCCTAAGAAACCTTAAGAAATTTAGCATTTCATTTGTACAAACTGCTTCTGAAGGAAATATATATACATATATTTGTAGAGTATGGCATTTCCAGTGCATCCAGAGAAGCACTCAGTCAGGCCTCGTGTGAGGTCACCCTCAGAAGCTGACCGGCTCTAGGGCCCGTGCCAAAAGAACATGTCTGTAAGCTTCATAATAGGTCTAGACAGAGGAGTTCATATGCAGATGTGACAAGAAGAAGAATGTGAGGAAACCCCCAATGTCTCTGTAGACTGTGACTCACCCAGAATGTTTTCGTGCCTCATCAGGACTGTCTGATATATCTCAGTCTCGCGGAACCAGCTGGCTTCCTCTGTGGTAAAGAACACTTTGACAGCTACCTTTTCTCCACGCCACTTTCCCATCCACACTTCCCCATAGCGGCCTTTTCCGATCTGCTTCACCATCTGAATTTGCTTAGCTATCGTCCTTTGCACCTGGTAAGGTCCAAAACACCTCATCAGTATATTTACAGCACTACAAATCTGTTTAAGCTTTCCTCCTGAAGGGGAAAAAACAATGACTGTACGTAAAACATTGATGTCCATATTATCCTTTATACCCAATAGTTATTTGCATTTATTAATTTATGCTGTTCTCTTTTACATGCATTTCAGATGGATGCATGTCAGTTTTAAATAATCAAATACTGCCTCTAAGTCTTTAAATGTTCCATTCTACCTATTGCAATTTTCATGGGAAGAAAAAGACAAATTGTTTCATAATATGGTAGACTAAACTGTTCCACTGATATAATGATTTATTAAATACTCGGAAAGAATTCCTAACAACACATAACACATTATGAATTCAGTAAACAAGACAAAAATCATTGGGCACACAGGTAAATTTCTAAAAACCCTTAAAGAACAGAAAAAGAAGGAAAAAAAAAACAAGAGGGATGAAGGGGAAAGGAGAGCTCTTTAGAAACAAAACAAAGAGAAATGAACCCCTTCAGATTATATAGTGAAATTTCAGTTACAGAATGCCAAGCAACTGCAGGGAATGTTTAAGGAGCAGAAAATAGATGAAGGATAAGCAAGCAAAGCAAGATAGTAGAAAATTACACATTTGAAGAGATACTTGTCACAGTGAAAAAAAAAAAAAAACACAGAATGGAAACAGAAAACAGCAGTTTAAACAGAAGAACTAGTTAAAGAAAGTTAGCATGCTGGAGAAAAGGCTTATTTAAAATCAGAGGGCCTCTGAAAGCCAGAAGAAAACAGGAAACAACCTTGAAACCTGCCACAGAGGGCCTCTGAAAGCTTCTGCAGTATAGACTGTCAAAGCAGATGCTGAGCCTGATGACCAACTGATGGGCAGAGTGAATGGAATTTTATGTAAGAAGTGGGAAATAGTAAGAGCTGGAGGGGACAGGAACTCCACAAGCAGAGCAACAGAACAAGATAATTTGAACACAGGGAACTTCCCAGAAAATCATACTCCAACGAAGGACTATTCGTGGAGATAACCTGGAACCCCTGCACAGGTGTAGCCCATGGCAGTTCAGTGTCCAAGTGGTTTACATAGTAATGGGAAGAGGGACTGCCTCTGACATAATCTAATTGTCCTGCTCGTTGATCACTTCCCCCTGAGGGGGGAGCAGCCTTACCAGGCCACAGTAGAGGACAATGCAGCCACTTTTGATGAGAACTGATAGACTAAGATCAGAAAGAAGAGGAGAACCTCCCCTATCAGTGGACTTGGGGAGTGGCATGCATGCAGAAAGGGGAGGGAGGGTGGGATCAGGAGGGGAGGAGGGAGGGGCTTATGGGGGGATACAAAATGAATAAAGTGTAATTAATAAAAAATTTAAAAAAATACAAAACAGGTCTGAAGAATTACAAAGAGTTCATAAAAACAAAGGGAAATCTTTGAGTTAACCACTATGAAAGTTTGTCTCTGTCTAGATGATGTTTAGACCACCTGTCCTTTATTGATGGGTCCCTGGCTAAAAGGACTAATACTGGAGGCAATTTATAGAATCTGAGAAGTAGAAGGAACTTTGTGCACCCGGTCTGGGCACAAGCCTGTAATCCCAGAACTCAGGAGGCCCAGTAAGTAGACTGTGAGTTGAAGGCCAGCCTGGTCTCCATAGGACATAAGCTGTCTCAAATACACACTAGCATGTGATGATACAAAATCTTACCGAAGGAAATACAAAGTCCTCTTTAAAGTGATACATCAAATACAGGCTTAAATCTTTGATTCTATCTTGTATTTTTAAAGAACATTCAATTGTGATACGTCAACCCCCATAGGGTAGAATCTGCTTGCCCCCTTGTCTGTAGGCTAGCAGTCTAAATGCCTCCTGCAGGACAACATAGTAGGCTCTAAGGATTAGGACAGAGACGTTATTCTGTAGATCTCTTACTTGGGATTCTTCTGTTTCTATGGTGAGCAATAATATCAACTAAAGATGTTCTGAGTTTATTCTTAAAACTGGAATGACAGTGATAGCAGAATGGAAGCCTTTTGTAAAAGAGTGTTTTTCCTAAAGTTAAGATTTTAAAAATTAATGACCCAGGAAGCATAAAGTGAGGTGAAAATAAGCGAACAAACAGACGCAGAGTTTGGCACTCTGTATGAGGTAACCTTTGTTACACTATTTGTCCATGGCCCCGGCCAGATGACAGGAACATCCAGCGAGTACTAGGCAGCCGAGAGCCAGGTACCAAGCAGTTAAACCATCCACTTGGAAGGACACTTGCCAGCAGTGTTCTGTGGATCTCTGGAATCCTGCCTAACAAACAGCTCTGCTTCTTTCCTAGAACTAAGATGTCTTTTCCAACGAGCCGACTGCCAGCAGTGGCAATGCTGAGACAGAAACAACAGCCCTCCAAGATATGCTGCCATTAAGTTAGACTTAGAAGCCACATTTTACTCGCATTTTGAACTTATATAGTCACAGAACCTGAACGCATGTTTGAAATTTAAACACTGATTTCACAAATGTTTCTGCTCTTTCTGCTCATAAAATTTCAATCTAAATTACATTCATAATCTCTTGAAAGTTGAGCATGTAGTCCTGGACTCACTTTGTAGACCAGGCTGACCTAGAGCTCACAAAGGTACTCCTGCCTCCCCGAGTGTATAACTATTTAAATGTCCCCCAAAGGTCTGTGTGTTCAAAATTTGGTCTCTGGATGAGTTCCAGCATAAGCAAGTGGCACTCTAGATGATAGGGTCAAGCAGGGGCTCTGCTGGTCACAGGAAATGGGCCCAAGGGGGAATATAGGACTCTCCGTTTCTGGCTTCCCTTCTCTTCCATGAGGTGAGTAGTTCTGCTCTGCCAAGGACTTCCACCTCAGTGTGCAACGACAAGCCCAAGGGAAGAGGACAGATAAGCACAAACTAACACCTCTAACCCCTGACCTTCTGAGCCCAAACAAAGTTGGATAGCTCAGGTGCAGCCACAGAAAAATGACCACCATATGTCTGTACTATGTAATCACTATAACTGTGATTCTAACAAGATAATTATCTCATGTGCATTGGATATAAATACTATACATACATATATAAAAATGCAAGGAGTGCATCGCTATTTTAAGAATGTCATCTTGAACGATTACACTTCTGTTTTCTATGTGTAAGTCTGTGTACACACATGGAGAGTAGAAAGCAGGTTTGTATGACCAGTGTAAGATACTCTATCACTGAGTGTATAATACACACATACGTACACAAACAGAAATATACACAAATATTTGCCTTAATTAGGCTGAATTAATATAAACGGGAAAGACTTTTACTAGACTTCATTTAAGAGCCTTAACATTGGGATGGCAAGATGGCTCAGTAGTTAGAAGTACTTGTGACCAGGACTAATGATCAGAGTTCTCTTCTCCAGCTACAATAAGACAGCAAGAGATAACTCACTTCTGACAGCTGTCCCCTAACCATCACAGACACATCTTAGTATATATGCACCATGGAACAAAAAAGCTTGTGCTCACACAGAGATGTGCGCATAAAATTTTAAAATAAATAAAAATTCAAGAGGTTCACAGTTGAGTTAAAAAATTATCTTATATTCCCTAATGAGGTCAGATAAGTGGGATATAATAGTAATATTTTATTGGATAATATATACCAAACATATACAAATAATATTCTAAATGTTAGCTATTAAATGTATACATATACAACACATAAGTATCTGCTACACAAGAAAAATATATTCTATCTTAATCCATAAAATAGCTCTTTATTTCTTTTTGAAAGGGGAAGGGAAGATATAGACGATATATTTAAAAAAAAAAAAAAGGTCTCAAAAGGTAACTTGGAAAACACTATCAAATAAAGAAATATGTGTAGATGGCAGCATTAAAAAAGAGACTTCCAGAAGGCCTAAAACTATAAAAAAGTAATGTGGTCTCATTATTATAGGTGTAATAATAAACAATGGAGTAGCACATACTAGTCAGTATTGTTAAGGGAATGATAATCTCACATTGAGACTAGTTGCTTACTTATTGTTTTAACACAGTGGGAACTTTTTATGTTTCAACTGTGTACTTTTCTTGACAAATAAAATACAATACTATGGAACTTATAAATATAGCAATTATAGCGAGGTGGTGCATGGGCATAATCTCAGCACTCAGGAAGGCAGAGGCAGGATTGAGTTTGAAGCCAGCCTGGTCTTCTAGTCTTCTTCTTATGACAGCTAAAATGGCTACATAAGCACTGGTTGTTTCTGTTTGATCTTAAAAACTGTTAACTACAAAAGTAGATGCCAGGCTGTCAGATGAAACAAGTCAAGGAGACATACAAGTTGGGAGCAAACCCTGAGGTCTGAGAGTTAAGAGTTCCTTAGGGGCCAGCGGGATGGCTCAGTGTGTAAAAGCACTTGCCATCGGGCCTGAGTTCGATCCTCCACTACCACATGGTGGAGAAGCATTTCCTGCAAGTTGCCCCTGACCTCCACATGCACATATGGTACGTGTGCTCCCAGACATTCACGTATGTGCTCTCTCCTCTCACCTCCTCCTCTCTCTCTAGTACAACAAAGCTCATTAAGGAAACGAGTTTCCATGAAAATTACCTCTACCCTTCACTCCAACTACCTTTGTTTGTAGTCTAGAAAAGAATCAGACACTTTTCTCAGCCAGGCAAATGTCTTGATTTGGAGTAAGTTCTCGCTGAAGCTTGGTGGGGCTGACAAGGAGCAATTTCACCTCTCCTGAATGGAAAAGACATAGCTCAGCCTGAAACCTCACACTGTGGCTGCCGTGCATGGAGCTTCACAGGTGCCAGGTCAAAATAATGCTATCCTCACCTCACCAAAACCAGAAGGCAGTGGTGCCCACCTGTACCGCCTTCCAGCTCACTCTTGATGAGGATGTCTGAGGGTCTGGCTTGTAAACAGACACATACATTAAGAAATAAAATAAAATGACCTCGCTCTGTGATTGTCAAATGCTATCAAGAAGCCCTGCATCTAAGATTTGACGCCCACGGGCACTTAGCCGTCTCTTGTCCACAGCGCAGTTTAAGTAGTGCAAAACCGACTTTCCCTCTGAGAACGCATTTCCTTGGAATTCATGTCATATTCTTCTCCTACCAGCAGAGGGAGCCCCGATCCACTTCCCGAGCTCTGAGACTGCTCAATCAAGTCTCTCAGGGACTCTCCAGGAGGAATGTAAGTTTCATCCTGCTCTAGCCCAATGCTGTACCGAGGCCTGGCTTCTTGTCTTTTATACCTAGGCATGAACGAGGGAGATAGTTTGATAAAATGAAATACAATGACAGATATAAAACATCACAGACCAACATTAATCAAGGAGTACAGCAATAAACACAAGATCAAATGCTGCTTGCTACCCTTGTAATGTTTTTACTCAATCATACGCAATTTTTCTTCTCTGTGTCTTTCAAATACTGTATACAAACAGATTATATTCCGATGGCATTTCCAAATAACTCCAATATTCATTTCCGAGAAGCATTTCCTTTAAGTTCCCTAAGTAATTAAATGGGTTTTTTTTTTCTTCATTTATAAAAGAATGTCAGGAAATCCTTTCACATAAGAAGATGTACAAGATGATATGATAACCATGACATAAAATTAGGCTTTAAAACATGCTATTGTAATGTCTTCCAAAAATTCATCTTAATCAACTAACTGATGCACTTACAGAATGTTACAGCTGAATATCTGGATGATCAAATGGCACGGACATATAAACTTTTATATTTCACAAAGTAGAAAAGTTCTGGGCTAAAAACTTAATATAACTAAACTTATTTTGATGTTTATTCTATAAAGGTTATAATACTAGAGAAATCTGTAGTCAGGAAATAAGGATTTACAGAAAGCACTTGGACTCCTATATGTTTTTGTTTTCTTGGAGTCAAACCTAACTTATCACTAGTCAATACATTTTCCAATTATCCATGTTTCCTTAAGATGGAAAGTTTATCTGAGTGGTTGGCATGTCTGAAACAGAAACGAGACAGGCATTTATTTATAGCTTCACTGGGGTAAACCTTTGTCAACGGTGATAGATATTTTCAGATAAACCTAATATATAGGGACAAAGAAAGCTGCGACGCCAAACCTTGACAGGAAGCAGCAGTGAAAGCTATTTGTGTAGTGGACATATCTCACACTCACCTAAAGTAACAGAATAAAATAATGAGGGCCACGAGCAAACTACACACAGTCACAGATATAAGTAAGGCCTTGTGGTGGATAGCTCCATCAACAAAATCTGAAAAAGAAAGCCACAAAACAGCATATATTATTACTTAAAAGGGATGAACTCTTTTCCAAAAGTTTGACAAAAAAAAAAAAATGATACACAAAATATGGAAAAACCTTTAACGTGCCGTGATAAAAAAAAATAAATAAAAAAAAAAAAGTACTCAAAACAGAATGCTTGGCTAGCATAAATCCACTCAGCTAGACATGTATTTCAACAGCATGGGTTTCCTTTCCTCTACAAAGGAATTGTAGACACAGAATAAACCAGAAGGAGAAAGACAACGGGAGCAACATCCTGAGCCTAGCATCCAAGCCAGAGCTGATGTTTATCCCAGAGTTAGGTGGTGTGCTTGTAAGCTCTTCTCACCTGGCATCTGGAAGAGTCTTTGAGTAAGAAACAAAAAGAAATCTGCATTAGCTATACCCAAAGTTGCTTTCTGACCGATGCAAAGCATAAGGACACCTGACATTCTATAAGACACAGATAGATATGAGTATCTAGTGTATTTTGTATCAACTCAAGTTCTTGACCAGTCAGATTCACTTTAAGTGAGCTCTCTCAAGCTTCATGTGGAACAGAATGTTTTAAGAGACCATTAATATAAATGTATATTTATTGACTTTAAACCCAGAGATATTTATTCAAAAATATCTTTTCTTTTAAAACGAATCACAAAGGTGATTTTTATGCAGGTGGCTTAGGGGTAATTTAAACAAAATGAATTGAAAGCAAGCACAGCCACACGGTGACAGAGTTCGCGCCCTTATGAAATGTCCAACATGCCCCTGAGGGAAACATGGCTGCTACTTAGTTGTAAAAGGGGAACTTTGGGCAGTACAACAAGACATTTTCCCAGCTGTCCTCACACATAGACGAGACATATTCAGTTTTGGCAAGAGGTTCTTTTCTCACCCAAATGGGCCTTTTTTTTTTTTTTTTAGTAAAAAAGTAGTGCATGCCCTAAGAAAAAAAAATATTTTTAAGGCCCAATTGACTGAAAAACATGCAATCATTACATTCTTAACAAATTGCTGATAAAAGCTGCATGTGTGCCATTATGGAATCACTTTCAATGAACAAAAAATGTTAACCAAAGAATTATTTCTCAAAGGATATTATGTCACCTTGTAATTAGATTCTTTTTTTCTATCCTTTATGGAGAAAGTATTACTATATAATCCAGGCTTTCTCAAACTTCAATCATTCTGCTTGAACCTCCTAAGGGCTGAGATTACAGTATCTGCCTCTCTGCTGGCTAAAGTATTTTTGTTTATAATATTGTGAACATTTGCCATTATGAGCTGTTGTCAAGGATGACATAGTATTTTGCATAGAAACATCCTAACTAGAAACTACCCTTCTGCTGTGATGTATTTAAGAGCTTTTGTTACAACACAGATTTTCTATAATATACACAATTATGTAATTGACACATATGATTTTGATTATGACTGTGTTTATTTAACATGCTTAGATATAAAACCATTACTTCAAAGGACAGATATTAAATATTCTCACATGCACTACCAGATACCATTTAATAAGGATGAAACAACTTCAAATTCATTACCAACATGATCATCTTTAATTATTTTGACAAAAGCTTGAAGAAAGCGTTCTAAGATGTCCTTCATCCACAGTTCTCATTATTTATATTTTATCATGAGTGTTATAATTCTCTTGCTCTCTGGCCACTCCTTACACAGAAACATTTCCATACACACACACACGTATGCATTTGTGTTCCCATCTGTTTTCCTTTATTTGGTGTGCCTGTATTAGGTTAGAGGATTTGAGGTTACAGAGCAATGCTGCTACGCTATCTACTTTTAAATAACTCAGAGTTGTTATTACAAATAGTACGATCAAGGATGCTGTCTCACAGTCACATGATTATATATCCCATACGTATTATATATATATTATATATTATTATATAATTATATATATATACATACAAGATATACTATATATGTACAATATACATAATTGTATGACTCTCATTACTGGGATACTAACCAGTTAGTTGAAAATAAACATACCTTGCAATGTTGCATAAAATGCTTAATTAGTTATTGTTAACTCTACCCACAGATCTTTACAGTTTTCTTCTGATAATAGTCAGTGATATGATACATTCAGTGGCCTGAAATATGTTTTAATACTAATAATCTATACTCTCTACAAATAGGAATGAAAGTAGGCTGCATTTTTAAAGACTAAATAACAATCATCAGAAATTAGTAGTTTTTTGTTTTTTGTTTTTTTTTTTTAATTATCCAGTTCAGAACTGTTATAAGTGGCACGGAAAAGGAGTTTAGAAGCTTGAACTACTGAAGTATTGTCCTAAAAGCCATTGCAAACAGGAGTAATAATTAGCACATACCTTTTTTGCAAATTATTGCTTAATAAATGCTAACAATAATTTACAGGTTCTCAAAAATAAGTAGTCTACAATTGTATACAATGTATAGAGTCACTAAGTTTTCTAAGTTTCTTTCTTTCATGTCTTATATAGGCATGCAGAGACTGGGATCTCTGCCTCTATTGGAAAACACAAATCACACTGTATTTACAATTTTAAGGAGAACTCAATACATTTTCGAATCCAAAGATAATGTTCCTCTACTAAAAATAAATCTAACCACAGAATCACAATGAATTTCCAGTAAGCCCAGAATCCTCTTTCACTCCTAGGCTATGAGTTTGTTAAAAGTCTCAGCTTCAACGATCACAGACTGCAATGTAAAGCACAGACCAGTCCTTTCTTACTCAACACATTTCTGAATTATGACAGAAAGAAAACCACAAGGACCTACGGGCTTCTCTTTTTACCATCCGGCACTTTTCTGAAGGCTGGCATTATTCTGCACTTTCCTTTTCCCCAATATTTCTCTCTTGCAGTCAGATCTGCTGTCTGCTTGTCTTGGCTCATGAACGGATGATCCTTATCAATAAACATCTGTTTCCGCTGTTCACGTGAGGCTTGTGTTACTGTGCCATTGCCTGCAGTTAGAGTGCTAACACGAACATTCCCGGAAGGAGACCTTTCCACACACCCATGAAGAGAAGACAGCATGTGGGCCCTTCCAGGATAACACTGTCCCTCTAACTTCTCAGGGATTAGAACCAACTGAGAACTCTGCAAGCAAATGGGGATCTATCTGAGAGGCAAGTAAGAGTCACCAGCTGTTTCATAACAAAACTGAATTCTGTTGTACCTTGTATATTGCTGTTTTTCATCTTTAAATGAGAATATCCATCCCAAATATCTCACGGAGTCGTAAGGCTCAAATGGTTTAGTTACTATAATAGTCGGGGTAATGCTTGGCCTGCATTAGTCATTTTAATTTTCATTGGACATTTTTGTCTCACCCATTTAGTAAATCACTATTCATCTCCGATTCTCGTTCAAGTGTCACCTTTCTGAGGACATTGTGCTATTCTGCCATTTGATATAGAACTATCTCGATCATGTCCTTCATGATCAGCCAACCTCACACCCCTGCTGTCATGCCTTCCTACACCATGACCGTAGCCTGGAAGTTACACTATCTCTCCCCAAAGTTGCCATCTGCCAGGATATTCTATCACAGCAACAGGAAAGTAGCTAATACAGAAATTGGTAACAGCAAAGTCGGTTTGTTTCTGTGGTGACCCTAACCATGATGTTTTCTGGAGGAAGGTACTTCAGGCTGGAAAGTGCTGTAGGCAGAGCTTAGTGGACTGTTCTTGTGAATGCCTAGAAGACAGACGTGTGGAGATTAACCCGAGATGCTGGAGACATGTTTCTTCAAGTTTCAGAAGGGAACAAGGACTAAAGTGGCAACTGGGCTTGTGGCCATTCATGTGACACTTGGACAAAGAGTACGGCTGCATTCTATGTGTGTGGTGAGAATTTATTTGAGGCCAAATTTAAAAGAATGGGGTGATTTCTACAGCAGAGGAAATTTCAGGCAGCCTAACATGGAGTCTGTGGCATGGGTATTCTTGATTATTCTTATGCAAAAAAAATTCAAAGTTGTGCTGTTAGGGGAGAAAAGCAGTAGGAAGCTCAAGATTCCAGCCAAGCCATGTGCTGAAAAGTGTCTATCACTGTTTACAAGATCACCACCAATGACAAGAACCCTCCTGGGCTGCGTTGAACAACAGTGCCCTGAGGACAAGATATCACCAGGTTAAAGTTCCAATTTGTGAAAAGAGAGAGTGTGAGGGGTTTCCTACTCCAAGAAAGCAAACTTTTCATTGGATTCAGCATACAAATTGTGCTACAAACATAGTCAAAAAAGGACACTAGGCTCCATTCTCAGCTGGTAGCAAGACTTTGTGTCCACATGGTACTTCTTTTGATTGCATGAAAGATATTACATTGAGGACATCATGAATCCTTCCACCATCATCACAGAGTGTCTCGAAGGCTAGTCAGCACAGCAGAGTTCAAGTCCCTGGGAGGAGGCTCCAAAGGCCACTGCATAAAGTTAGGAAGATGAAGTCTGTTTCTGTGGAGATCCCAAGACACTGGAGATAACCAGAACAGTGAGACATCTGCCAAGGAGGGTCTCATATGCAGAACCAACCGGCGAAAGGGAGATGTGCTGCATATTGCCAAGCTGGAGGAGCAGAATCATCTAAGCCCTTTGAAGAGAAATCTGGTGGATTCACACTGCTGGGTTTTTGTTTTGCTTTGATCAAACTTGACTGTGGTGCTACTTCTTCATTTTTGAATGGGAATACATACTCTATGCCATGGTTATTGAAAGTATATCATTTGGATTTGTTTGATTGATTATTTTTAATACTGGTTGACAGTGGGAAAAAAACGGCTTTAGGTTTTAGATAAGACTTTGCATTTTCGAACAGTGTTGTTCTGCTGAAGAATATGTAAACCTTTGAAGTTGGACTACATGCATTTTGTATTATGAGATGGCCAAAAGCCCGTAGGGACAGATGTGACAGTCCCGTTTGGGTGAGAAATGCCACCCCCTCCTTGCATAAGCTTATATATTCGAGCACTGGGACCACAGCTGGTGCTGTTTGCAAAGGTGAAGAGACCTTCCTGAGGTAAAGCCCTGCCAGAAGAAGCAAGTCACCGGGAGAGACCTTTGATTTTTGGTACCCTGACTGGAGAGACCTTTGACTTTTTGTAGCCTGACTCCACTTCCTCCACCCTGCCTCCCTGCCTCTGTCTCTCTGATTGTTTTTTTTCTTTTTTCCCCTCCCTCTGGAACTATAAATCACAATAAACCCACTTTTTCTTGAGGTTGCTTTTCGTCGGCGGATTTTATCACAACAACAAAAGTGTTACTACACGGTCCTTAATGTAATTTGTAATCTACTAATGAGATATCCACGACCAAATGGAAGTTAAGCTTTTACACGTCAGTTCTTACACCCTTTGTGCAAGCATTACTTTCTTCATCCATTTCTGTATCCCTAACACTTAAGATGTTGCTTGAAAAAGAAATAAAGAAAACTGTGAGTCTCTCATGTGAATTTCTATGAATTAATCGGAAAAGCTTCAACACAATAATGGGAATGTATTTATGAAACATTGTCAAAAATATGAAATGCCCCTATGTTTTAAAGTAAATATGCTCTCAAAAAATAATGGCAATCGTGAAGTTTCATTTTAAATTATGCACATAAGAGTTAGGACTCTAAAGCATTTATAAATCATTTATTTGTGATGAACAAAAAGAAGGAAAAGGAAATCTAAAAGCTGTTGTCAAAATCTCTGCCAAAAAGCCTTTAAGTATGCAGAACCAACCCACAAAAAGGAGATGTGCTGCATATTTCCATAATAGCAATAGCTATTATTTTAAATACTGCTAAGTTCATAAACTTTGAAATTAAAACTTTTAAAAGGACCCCCACTTTAGAAAATATGTTATTAATTTAATAAAAATCAGATTGTTGTGATGATAAAATAAAATGTGGCAAAGCAAAAAAATATTTTATGTAGTCTTTTATTTAGAAGGTCTTTAATTTGTGAATGTATATTAAAGCATAGTTAAGACCTAATGTGAATAATTTTCAAGAGTAAGTATGCAGTGCCCTTTCTTTTCTCTCCCTCCTCCCAGCACACAGTACACTCTCAGGACTGGAGCTCTCCAGAGAGAGGTTGGGGAGAAGCAGAGTGACAGGGACCCTAAGAATAAAGCTACATACAGCCCCCAAGCCACGATCTGCATGTACGATCTGCATGTACGATCTGCATGTACGATCTGCATGTACGATCTGCATGTACGATCTGCATGTACGATCTGCATGTACGATCTGCATGTACGATCTGCATGCACGATCTGCATGTACGATCTGCATGTACGATCTGCATGCACATTTCCTGACTGACAGTCATGGTGTCATCTTGCCTTAACCTTCTACTCCAGCAGTGGGTAATGAACCCAATTAAAAGCCAAAATGGTCAAGGCAGCAATAAATTTGTCAAGGAGGAAGAGTCCAGTGCTTGCCCTCAGTAAACTGAAGCCTCCCTTCACACCCCCAACCCATCATACCTCTGTTCTTCAGTGGAGGCAATGTAGGGTGTAGGTCCTGATTACATTCATTCCTCTCTGTGCAGCATTCGATTGATCTTCTTTGATGAGGAATAGGAGTGTCCTAACATAAAACACAGAGACAGCTCTTAGCGGGTTTTCTCTAAATTTCCATAGCACAACACCAAAAATTTAACAGATTATCACTAGAGAGCATATTTAAAATTCTAATAATTTTGCTCAAAATCACGAAACTGTCACTTGCCACCAGGAAGTTTATTTCAAACTGTAATGTACCATTACAACATTTCTATTTCAATAAAAACCATTTATTGTACTTGTAGCAACCAGCATACATTAAATAAGCAAATAATGAAGGCTCAGATTAACCAATAGATAATCTGGATTTTAAAGGTAGTGTAAAAAGAAAAACATGGTTTGTAAACAAAGAGAAAATTGGCTAACGAGAATTTTCTATTGTTTTATGTGGGATAGCCATGACAAAAGGATTCTTTTATTTTGCCAGTGCAAGTTACAAAGTAAATTCAAGTGATCTTCCTTACTCGGCATTGAAAATCTGACCCTTCTAGTCCCAGACATCCAGAGGTGACAACAGGCATTCCGGAGTCGTCTTCTTCTATCATTGTGAAGCAATATCCATCTGTGCTGAAGACCAAACAGGGAAAGTGATAGTGAGAGAAGAGAACGCATGAAGTAAGAAAACAAAGTGAGCCTATCTTACTTCCATTGGCTTCATCACAAACAGGACAAGGTCACAGATTTTTTTTTTAAATACAAACTGTTGAGGACATCTCAACATTTGCATCTATGAAAGCAGATGAACCAATCATTAAAAACAGATGGTTTCCTCTTCACTTAGAAACTCAAGAGAGAGAAGGCTGGAAATTTCCTCCTATCGTTAATTACCATTAAAAAGAGCTGACACTCTAAGTGTCTTGCCCCGATCATCTTTCCAGATAGACAACCTGAGGACGATACCACTATCCTTTTGCCAATGTGAGGACACTGAGGGTCAGAGAGCTTTAGTAATGTCCAATGTGTGACAAGGTCAGTGAGGGGTTGGGGGAAGGCAAGGCAAAGCTGGAACCTATGCCAGTGAGTGCAGGGTTTGGCTCTCTCATTGGAGGCTGTGAAATACACCCCTCTAAGGCATGGTAGTTGAGGTCAGGCAGGAGAGGGGTCAGCTGAGGCAGTGAAGGTTCATGGTTGTTAGCCCTCTGCTTAGGGCTGATGAGGCACAGCAAGACGTTAAGCACGGCAGCAAACACTGTTGGACATGGATTAAAAGAGGAAACAGGAAGAAAGGTTTTGATATAACTAAATGTTAATGCCTCTCTAAATAAAGATAACTTTAAGTTGTCCTATGACACTTAATCTTCTTCTTACCAATAATTTGAAGAAAATGCTATTACTATTTTGCATGTGGTGCAATTGGCTTCCTGAGACAATGCCGCCGTATAACACTGAATAGTTACAGCACCAGCAGCCCTTCTAACTTCACTCATTCTTGTTATCTGCTATCCTGGGACTAAACTGAAAACAGTAACTGTTACATCCAGGACCGCGTGCAAACAGACATATTCTCTTCATAAATCAGGACTTATATCATGGATTCCCAAGAAGTCAAAAGCTGTCATCCGTGTCCTCAGAAATAAAGGATGGAGCCCATCTCCCATCCTCTTCTCATCCATATGCATGTGTGATGTCCAAGACAAATGTGACAATGGAGTTCCAAAAGGTCATGGGAACAAAGCCGTGAGAACAGTATTAGCCATGATTTGTAGGTCTGTCTGCTCGCATTAGTGGAAGCGGCATTCTGCCATGCACCAGCCCTCCAGTTATCATCAACATCCTTACAATTGTTTACTCAGTTTTTAAGTCTCAAGTGATCCAGCAGGCCTCCGTTTATAAAAACTAGAAGGGCAGAGTTGAAACATACTAGTGAATGACTAGGATGGGACAGTGATAAATCTTTGTTAAACTAAGGTCAAATGTATGAATACTGTTGTGGAGGAAAAACTGCCTCTGAACAGCCCAAGCTCAAATTCTTTGGCGCGTTTCAGTCAACTAACTCATTGAAACCTCAATGGGAGTGTAAACTCACAGTACTGATGGCAATAAATAAGGTGGACCTTCACAGAAAACAATGTGAGTAAATAATAATCATGTGACTCTTTTTGATGCTTTTCCTATGTATTCAGACCATTTGCATAAAATATTTCTCATTTGGAATTCCGAGGCAGTAGAGCAGCCAACATAATGAATTAAATCTGAGATGATATAACGTATTACTCAAAATCAAAGAGAAAGTGGGAATAAATTTCTTGGCAACTTACAATACAAACTCTAGGGAGAGTAAATCAAGCTTTAAAAATATACAAACCTGTCTGCAGAACTGAGAGCTAAAAACACAAAGAAGGGAGCCTGAATACATGGCTCAGAAATTAAGAGAAACTAGTTTCTCTTCTAGAAGTCCTGAGTCTAATTCCTAACACTCACATGGTGTCTGAAAACCATTTGTCACTTCAGTTCCAAACATCCAGTACCCTCTTCTTGCTTCTCCTGGGCTTGTAAAGAGGTGTGGTACAAATATACATATGTAGGCAAAATACACATATACATACAATAAAACATGTGTGTGTGTGTTAGTAAAGATAGAGAGGAAGATAAAGGCACCCTGAAGAACCTTCTCACTATATGATAATTAATAAATTCAGATAGAAACAAAATATTTGGAGACTCAGAAAGAAGAGCTGTTTTGTTGTTTATTGTCTGCAACACGGCAAATATAATTTATAAACTTCACACTGGAGCTTCTGTCCAACAAGGGACATCAATGAGAAACACACAGAACAATTACAGAAGCCTAAGCTACTCGAAAGCCTTTCACTCTGCGGCAGGCACTGACGGTCTTGGGTCTAAGCTAGCCAAGTCTTCCCACCACTAAGATGGCTATTAGGCATCATAAAGGCAATTACCCTCTGATATCAGTTTTTGTTTTTTTAAATAGTCTACTGCCTGGGTGTCCAAGCTTGTGTCATGATTCTCATACTGGAGGAAATGACAAGGTGAAGGAAGTCAAATCAGGAATAATTTTGAGAAGCGAATTGCACAGATGAATGCAGGATGGATCCTCTGGTTATGGGAATGATTATGAAGGAGCGAGGCAGTGACAGTCAATTAATAGAACTGCCAATCAGTGTGCTGTCTCTCTGTGTCACAGGCAGGGAAAAGCCATGACAAATGGACTGGGATGGGGTGCGTACCAAGAAAATCAGTCACGGATTCTCAGTATTCCTGTAGTTACTGAATAAAAGTGCAAAGCACTTGGCAAGTTAAAGGTTACGTGAAGTCCGAGTAGCCCTAACATGTGACGCTCCTTGGATAGATAGCTCTTTGGGTTCAAGTCTCTTTAAGTTTGCCCAGAATTCCAAAAGCAAAGGAAAGTTTGAAACATCTACGAGGTGGGAAGGAGACAGAGTGCTTTAGAAGATGACCCAACGCACCCAGGGGACTCACACTAACAAGAAGGAGACACACTGCTTCAAAGCTTCCAGGGAGTTAGCGACCCTCTGCCAGGCTGCTGTGCGTCTAGAAACTGCAAGGATTTGAACTCCTCTGTCCTCGCACCTCTCATTAAATGGGTTCAGAACAGCCTTCTGGGACCCAGTTCCTTCGTGAGTTATGGTTGAGGGATAGAAAACAATTTCATGTCATCAAAATGGCATCAACACTACCTCTATGTAAAGTGAGTGAAATGGGGTCAAAGGGACGGCACGGAGCTTATGAGTGCGAACCACTCTTGCATGCCTCTAAGGACTGACAGTTCTCCTCAATGATCAATACACAGCCCTGCACATTTTCAAAGTTGTACCAAATTCCCGAATCCTGGCATTTCTTTTGAGTTGAGGTTTCAATCAGAATCCACTTTAACGGGCTGACTGACTGAGCACACCCTGACTTTGATATTACCTATTTCATATTCAAGGGAGCATAGTAAAGTTTTCAGACTTTTCCAGCACAGGTAATCTACTGGTGCACAATCTGTGCAGACTTTTGTTTGATCTTGTAGATGTTTATCAATAAATGGCCGATGGCCATGTATAACTTTGTTCAGGGCATCTCTTTTTTCATTTGTGGATCACACTCAAGCATCAGGGGCCATGAGAAAGAAAGAGGTAGTCTTGGTTTGAGGAGCACATAGACTACAGACTCCGATTGTAGAAGAAAGAAAGTCATCAGCTTCAAGCAGCAGGGATAGGAATCCTAAGCTATCTAGTGTTTCCAAGCGGTAGGCGGAAGACCAAAGAATGATGAGCAGGCAGTTGCCAACACTGCCGATTCCTAAGGGTTTTCCTGGTCCCCTTCCTCCCTAAGCTCTGAGATGAGTGGATTGCCACAGTTAGAATTAATATTACTGTGCCCCTCTCTGTCTATTCTTATTTTGAGTCATTGTAGCGGAGTCGGGTTGAAAGTTAACAGCATTGATAACAAAGTACCAGTATGAGTGTTGCCTTTGATTCCACCCCTCAAGAACAATGTCTCCCTCTAGCAGCATCCTTCTCTGGCACTCCTACTGACTGATTTAGGGATGAGCTTATTTTTCTGTGGAGCACACATTTTTTTAAACATTGTCCCAATTTTATATCCACTGTAGATTTTTCCTTATAGATCTTTACTGTCACTGCTCTCTGCAGACCCTTACATGCCCCAGAGCCCTTTAAAAGAACTCCTGTCTCCTGGCTCTGGATCTGGCCGAGCTCTATATTAATATTATTATCTGACACACATATTATTTTCCTTCTTTGATCTGTAGTCCTCAGGGGATAATATGTAGAAGCCTAATACTATTTAGTTTCAATTGAACCTGACAACAAATTGGTCCTATTTAATCTCATGTCTGATGATGACATGAACAGTAATTGTTATTCCTTACCAAAGTCTCCATCATTGACTTTAAAATATCAGTAATACCTAAACCACAGGGTCTAGTGGAGGAGTCAACATTCTCTTACTAAAATTGTTTGAAATCAACACCAACTAGAAAAGATAAACTTACAAATCTTGGTGATTAGTTGGACGGGCCAAAACTAGAAAAACTGGATAGCTCTTATGACATTTAGCATGCCCATTAGCTTTTCCTTTCACCCCTACACTCTAAGACATACAGTTAGCTAGCATTTGGGAAGCAGAGGTAGGTAGGGTCTATGAGTTCACGGTCAGCCTGACCTATAAATATAGTTCCATGCCAGCAAGAGTTTCATGATACCTTGTATTAAAGAAGGAAGAGGAAAAGAGAAGAGAAAATGATAAGGCAGAAGAGAAAGTGATAAGATCAACAACAGCAAAGACAACAATTGTTAGAGACATATCTATTTCCTTCTTTAAGCAGCTAGTATCATTTGCACATTTTTATAAATGGTTGTGAGCCATGATGTGGTTTCTGGAAATTGAACTCAGAATCTTTGGAAGAGCAGCTAGTACTTTAACCTCTGAGCCATATCTGCAGCTCTCATTTGTACATGCTTTATACATTATCGGACAAAAGCAGTCAACTTATACCTGAAAACTAACCATGTAGGAGAATTTTTGAGCAGAAACTAATAATTTATATGAGGAAGCATTAAAATCATCTCTAAAAGATGAATTAACAATAGCTATTACAAATGGATAGACATGTGCCATGGATAGAAAGAATCAGAGGATGTTCATGAGACAAGGACAAAAATATGACAATCAAAGACCACATTTAAGAAGATGAAAAAGGATGTATAGCGCCAGATGATACATTTGCTAGAGTATAAAAATGACACAAAGCCTAACATGGTGAAAACCACCTACGAGAAACTGTATTGGGCTTTAGAATTCTCAAGGGAGCACTAGTGATATGCATTCCCACCAATAAAATCAGGAAACGGAAGGATTACAGAGCAATGTGACACCTTAAGAGAGATGTCTCACTAGCTTGTCCCCCCTCTTGTGATTACAGATAAACCCTGTACCCCTATTAATGTTAAACTCAGTCATGATTCTTTTTCTTTTCTGGCTAAGCAGGCCAGGTTGGCCTTGAACTTGCAACCATTCCTCTGCATTTACTTCTCTAGTGCTGGGATTAAAGATGTTCATCACCCATCTGGCTCAATATGCATAAACTACATCCTCAAGCACCCATGCCATAAGCAACAGAAATGACATGAATTTTGGCAGGAGTCACATCTGTACCTTTGACCTTGTTGTTGGCTGGTGAAACAACTAAGAGTGCTGAAGAGTTTACACACCTCTAAACTCCATCCGTTTTCCTACTGAGCCAGTGAGATTTCCCAGCAGCTTCAAGGATGAAGCATTATTGGTTCTTGTCCCCCTTTCGGATTGCTTTCTCCAAGATGGTGGAAGTGATGGTGAATAAGAAACCTGCTTGGGACATTCAGCCTGAAGGAGAGGAATTTTTGCCTGGTACAAAGCCTAAGGGCAAACAATGTATACAAGGTATCTAATTCATTGGAAACTTTACCCTTGTCCTTAAAGCTGCTTTGCCTAGGTTCAAAGAGTCAGAACAGCAAACTGTTTGCTGCTGGTCTGTGACTGCATTAAAGTAGAAACCGAAACTTATATAGCAATGTGATATGATAAATTAACGTCTGTTGAAACTTACTAAAAAATTTAAGAGGACAAATAATTGGCAAGCTTTTAAATGAATTGCTTTAATAATTAATCTTGAGTGTACTTAGGAAAGTACTCGTGCACGACTTTGTGTGTGTGGAGGGAGTAATCTTTTAACACAAGAGTTTGAGAAGTACTACCTTAGAGAGAACAGAGAATGGCCTTGTAGAAATCACACAAAGCCACATGCTTCCTCGAGGTCTTAGCAGTGGCCCCCAATCTTCCTAATGCCGTGACCCTTTAACACAGTTCCTTATGTTGTGGTGACTCTAATCATAACATTATTTTTGCTGCTACTTCATGACTGTAATTTTGCTACTCTTATGAATCATAATGTAAGTGTCTGTGTTTTCTGATGAGTTTTTGGGGGAGAGGGTCGTGGTCCACAAGCTGAGACTCACTGTCTTAGGGCAGAGAACAAAGGAAGTCCCTATGCCCCACACAGGGAAAGACTCTACTGGAGTCAGCTCCTCGCTTGGAAAACATGTGTGGTACACAGGAAAGAATGTCCTCAGGGCACCCAACAGGGTTGGCTGCTGACCAAGAATTCCTAACTGAAGTCTTGGACATACCATCATTCTAAGGATAACATCACCTTTCAGAATCTCACATTTCTTACCTGGAAATAAACAGGAAAAACTGCATTCTTCACAAGAATGTTGGGATGATTAGATAGGTTGAAGATAAAAATATGGTATTTTTAGTAAATACCAGTTTTCAACTTGACTTCCACAAGTCAACACATCAATACTGAATGGCATACTCACTTTCTGTTGAGGGATTCTGTTGTTATAATCATGGGTTTTATTTGTTTTCATTTACAACAGTACATCAAAGGTTGAAAACTGCATAATTAAAATCCCATCCAAATCTGCTTTCCATCTCTACTACCTTAAATATCTCTAAATTGCTCTGATTAGTGTTACCAGTTCTGATTTCCACTTTCAATCCTTGTCACATTCAACCTCTAACTGCATCCAATACAGCTGACCTATCTTCCTCTCTACTGTTCGTTTCCACAACACTTGTTTCCGTTTGTCCCCTCTGACATTCTCCTTGACCCAAGTGTTTAATGTCTCAAGGTTCTGCCCTATTCTAGCAGACAGTGTTCTATTGCTGACCGAGCTGTGTTTCTCCATAGGTATGGGTTCCTACAGCACTGAGCTTCACTGTACCATTTGATCTGGTTAGTGAACTGTCAGAGCACAGGAGGCAAGCACAGGCTTTAGATCTACACTCAGCAGATCCACACTCACAATAGAAAGTATGCCCTGCACAGCTGATGTCCTCCAAAGAAAGAAGAGAGGTATGGCAAGCATGAGTCCAACAATCATCCTCAAGCCAAGGTCACTGAAGCCAGCAGAGCTCAGCACCTCTAAGTGAAAAACAAACATTTCATTTGTAAGCCTCTATATTTTTAAGGCAATGTGCCAACACTGGCCGCTGCTCTGTTTTTCTTTTTAGACTTTTAGAATATTTACATATGCTTAATGTGATATCTTGGGACCAAGACTTACATCCAACCATGAAGTTTATTTTTATCTTATGTGTCTTATGCAAACCTAGCAGGCGCATAATTTGACACAATATTTTCAGTGTGCCTGCAATCTGACTGTGACCCATCACATAGAGTCAGGTGGGGGAATTTCCACTAGTGGCAAAACATCTATGCTTTGGGAACATTTTAAATTTGTCATTTTGGGACTAGGGATGCTAGTACAATAACCTGTATTAGAATCCCTGTCATTATAAACTTTATAAAAGCTCTCTGCAACAACCAAACATTAGACTCAGTTTGCCATGCCCTCCTGGCTGATGGTAGCCTAAGCGGACATACTTCCTGAACTCCAAAACTCGTAGTTCCTTTCCCCAGTGGAGTCCATGGCCCCTCTTCATGCACACACTCTTTCTCTGACACTGTCTCTCCCAGGAGCCATAATGCTATGTGTAGCTTAGCCCTTTCTCTCTTGTCCTACTCGGGCCTCAAGAGGCTACAGCTCTTTGCATACTCTCCCCTTCCTCTAGGGTACATATATCATAAGTAGCATAATAGATGTTGGTGCATAAAGATGTGTACAAAGAAAAAAAAATCCTTTAGATTTTTCAGATTTTTAAAAACTGAACTCTTTACTTTCATAAAACATGACTTCCAATATCGCATGACTTCCAATATTTTAGTAATGTGACGACGTCTCTCCTAACATCTGTTGGATTCATAGAAACTACATCAAAAAAACTGCGTTCCAAAAGCTGTTTGTTAATCTCTTAGCAGTATAAAATACTAACAACATCAATGTAATGAGTGCTTAAGACAAGATCAGCATATTTACATGAAATCTATGTTAAGTGAATATAAAATGTTCTTTTTAATTAATTTATTATTTATTTCAACTTATTCACTTTGTATACCAGCTGTAACCCCCTCCTTGTGTCCTCCCAATTGCATCTTCCCTCCCTCTTCTCCTCCCATGCCCCTCCCTGAGTCCACTGATAGAGGAGGTCCTCCTCCCCTTCCATCTGACCCCAGCCTATCAGGTCTCATCAGGACTAGCTGCATTGTCTTCCTCTGTGGCCTGGTAAGGCTGCACTCCCACTAAGAGGAGGTGATCAAAGAGTCAGCCACTCAGTTCATGTCAGAGACAGAACCCCTACTAGAGAACTCACTTGGAGACTGAGCTGCCATGGGCCACATCTGTGCAGGGGTTCTAGGTTATCTCCATGCATGGTCCTTGATTAGAGTATCAGTCTCAGAAAAGACCCCTGGATCCAGATTTTTTGGTTCTGTTGCTGTAAACGTTTTTAAAAATCACAAAAATGCAATAGTATTTTGTTTGTTTGTTTGTTTGTTTGTTTTTCATTGGCAAGGAACCTGAGACCTGTTTATGTGTTTAGGGAGAGGGAAGTCTCAAATACCATTTCAGGGTAAAACATGATTAGACGTTTCTCTGAATACAACACCATCATCCAGATCATATTCTTGGAAACATTAACGTATGTTCAAAACAGTATGTGTCCATTTGTCAAAGTGATGTCTGAGACATTTCTGCCACCAACCTGCAGATGTTGTTGGCTGAATCCTCTGGACAGTGGTGGTGGCATCTACAACGAAGGGTCCTGGGGCGAGGGGTGGGGGCCGTCCTCTCGCCGTCCTCTTTCTTGGTGCCCACATTTAATTTTCCCGAGCTTCTTAAGAGCATGTTATCAGTGAACTTCTCTGTACAGAATAAAGAATGAGGATTGGAATTAGACGTCCAGCTTTCTGTCCAAGAGATGATATGACATTAAGTTAAAAAGAAAGTACTTGTGACAAAGATTCAAACAAAAGACAGACATTCTCATGTTTTCATGAGCGTACAGCATCTATTTATGTCTCATAGAGAGTAAGGAATGCAAACAATACTTTCAGAATATAATTTTATTCATTAAATTAGTATAATTATATTTAGTTGAGTAAAAACAGCTCGATGAAACAGTACTATAAAGATTATTCTTGTTAATATTAAGGATAAATGCTATCACTCGCTTTTCTTAGATAATAAACTCAAGTCTTGAATTTTAACTAATTGCTATGAACAGTCAAATAATAGAGTCAGCATTTTAAATCCAGATTGTGTGAAACCTAATACTATCTTTTTTATCATGTCAAATGGTTGATTTGAGGTACATCATTGTATTAATTTGCTTTCTATTGTTGTGATAAATCACTGGTCAAACCAACTTGGAGAGGAAAGGGTTTATTTTCCCTTGTAACGCCTGGATCACAATCTATAACTGAGGAAAACTAGGACAGAATCCTGGAAGCAGAAACTAAATCATTATTCATGGAGGAATGATGCTTTCTGCTTAATTCCTCTGGCTTGCTCAACTACTTTTCTTGTACAGACCAGGCCTACCTGCATGGGGACAAAACCACCCACAGTGATCTGGAACCTCCCACCTCAATTAGCATTAAGAAAATGTTCTTTAGACCTGACCATGGGACAATCTGATGAAGACAATTCCACAATTTAGGTTCTCTCTTCCCAGATGAATTTAGTTTGTGCCAAGTTGACAAAAACTAACCAGCACAACCACGTATATTTAATCTTCAAAATGTGTAGAAAAACAAACACGAAAAATGAAAACATATTTCAAAAGATATATCTTTTCTATCAGCTTTTACAGATAAAAAGTGTTTATCTGTTATTACAGTGATGCTTCTACCATCTTTGATAAGAGACAGTATGCAGGAATAATCTCCTAGAGGCAGATTTGTCTGGGTTTCTATCTTTCGTATACTGACTTGGATAACTTTATGGTATCCTGTAACACATCTTATCATTCTTAAAAAATCATGATTACAAATGCCCACATCTTACATCAAGAGATTAGCATGTGAATGTTACATGAAAGGATCATGCACTAGTTTATACCTGTTCTGTTTTAGGCACTGTGATCAGAGTTGTCATGTACCATGTCACTGAATAAATTATCTCTTACCACGTCCAGTTTAAAAACTCTCAAACCACATCTAAGTGGACTCTAATTGCACCAAATCTCAACAAAATATTGAATTATATATTGTTTTGTTTAAAAACTAAAGTTGTATGTCAGAAGCAACAAGCAAAATGAAGCAAGATATTGTACATAGTACATTTGTTAAATTTTTAAATATATGATTATTAGTCATGACTGAATCCGAAAATGAGAAATTTAGGAAAAATATCTGTGATAACCTTTCATGAGCCTTCTCTGTATTAAATTAGCCAGATTTTTAGTGAATTATTCATGTAAAAATCATTAAAATATGTTAAAGCAGGTGGTCTGGGTAGATGGCTGAGTTGGTAAAGTGCTCACTGAGCAAGGGTAAACCCCCAAATTTGACGCCACGCACCTGTATTAAAAAGTGGTCGTAGCTGTGCCTATAATGTCAGTACTGGGGAGGCAGAGATAGATTTCTGGGGCCTGCTGGCCCGCATTTATTTAATCCAACCATACACTAGACTCAGTGTGTCCATTAAAGGCAGGTCACAAGACCATAAAGTGAAGATATCCATGATGTAGTATAAACAGAACGACTCATCCATTTTCCATTTGTGCTGATTGAAAGTTTGCAAGTGAAAATGTGATAAAAACATAAGAACTTACAGGGGCTGCTATTTCTATTCATGTATCATACATGAGCAGACAGGAATATGTGTGTGTAGATAGTTGGGGTGAGGGTTGTGAGAAAGAATGCGATCGTGCTTTGCATCGTGGGAAACCTGAAGGCAGTAGGTACTGGTACAAGTGTTATTGTCTAGAGATGGAGGAAACCGTGAAAAGAGGCACACACTCTTTAAGATCTGAGTATCTCTACATTGTAGTAACGCTAATGTGTGAGGAAACGTGGTTGGCCTCCCGTTGTTATACAGATACACGACTTGTTGAAGAGACATTATCTGTGATGGAAGAGTCTTAACAATAAGACTCACTGCTTGTATCCAAATGGGCTGTCACTCCTGCTTCTATAGCCAAATTTACCTGTGGAGTAGCAAATCCGAACTGATCATAATGAAGAGCTATTTATCTGCTTTTCTGTTCAAAACAGAGAAGAGGCTGTTTTCACATTCTAATGTGGAATGAAAAACAAAACAAACAGAAAAATCAAAAGCTTCACAGTCATGAAGATAATGGTCCCCAGCTCATCTCACTTTGGGGATTCACTGCTGAGCCACTGCGAGTGAGTTCTTGGCAGTGACACTAATGGCTTAATGCCTTGCTTTGCTTCATTCTGGATTCCTCTTTTCTTTCATAATGATGTCTCGTGACGAAGCCCAAGCTGGCTTTAAATCCAGTCTGTAGCCATAAATGTCTTCAACGTGTAATGCTTCTGTCTCAGCCTCCTGAGAGCTGGCACCACAGGTACAGGCCAGCCGTGCCCAGTTGCTTTGCCGTGCTTTTGTGTGATTATGTGTGTGTGTGCCAAAGTTGTCTTGTTTTGTTTAAAACAAGCACACTTCATTCTATATTGCTCACTATTAGCAATTTATTTGTTACAGGTTAAACATTTTTGAAAACCCCAAATATAAAAATTCCTCAAACTCCAAATCTCTTTAATGTTTGAACACTACGTTAGATAGTTCAAAGTATATAAACTTTCATGTAAAAATTGTTTAAAAATGTTTCACTTTGACTTTCAGGATATTTGTTACAGTGTATATGCAAAGAAACATAGGTTAATTCTGCTTTTAAACCTGTCCCCCCCCAAAGGAATCTCATTATACAGAAGCAAATATTCCAGAATAATTTAAAAAAAAACAAGACTTCATACACTTCTATTCTGAAGTATCTTAGATAATGAATATTGAGCCTATAGTATGTTATAGACAGTTTTGTGCTAGTCTCTTCCGTGACAATAGACAAGTCTAAGCATCCATTTTTTTTATCAAAAAAAATTATTTTTATTTTTTTATCAAATGCCAGCTTGGACACACTGGAAGAATCAATTAAAAGGTACTCCTCACACAAAGATGATGAAGATGAATTGCTGACTTTAATCTTAATACAGATAGAATGCAGGCTATCTTAAGCCAGAAAGACATTAACAAGACCAAAAAGATATATATATAACTCTCATAACAGAGACAACATTTCTTTAAACATAGGTAGCAGTCAACAGTTCCTGCAATGTGAGCTAAGTAAAGGAAAGTAGTGAGAGGAGAAAATGAATGCTTCTGACTAGAGCCACCATTCAACAGCTGGTGAACTTCCAGTCTGACAGAACTGGGAGGAGTTCCTTGTTTCTGTCAAAACAATCACATCAAGGAAATAATTTATAGATGCAGTTGCTATTTATTATTCCATATAGAGTTAATTCCCTAGGAATGAGAATTATTATATCACAGTTCATAGCCACCAGAAAACACTGAACAAACTGAGTAAAAACCCAGAAAAAAAAATACCAATAATCTACTCTGAAGAGAGCAGATGCAAGAGTTTCAGGCATCAATGAGGTGACCAGATGCACTGGGCCCCTCACATGCTAAGCATGGCCAAGAAACTGCCCAGCCTCTGAACAGCCCATCCACAGCAGTGCAAAGTGGCCAATTAGAAGCTGCATAGCTCTAACATTATAATTGTGGGAATGGATTTACAAAAGAGTTAGGTTCATATATCATATTACACTGAACTCAAATAAAATCGGCCCTCACAGAAAGAAGCCAGAGCCGTAAACAAAACAGCATAATCAGCTAATTCCCGAAAATGGCAAAATAATACAAAAAAATATTTTGTTTAAGATGTAATCATTTTGATAATAATGGTAATAACACTGAAATAATTGACAGAAAACTAAATATGTGGATATGTAGGCGAACACATTAGGAATAATGAAAACACATCCCAAATACCAGATGTTCCATTAAAAGAACATCTTAGTGATCACTAGTTGCTTAAAGTTCTTTGACTAGGGATTGGACCCTGTTAAATTCTCCCCCTTCTACATTCAAACGTCTGCTGATATTATCATTGTTCAGGTCTTGAAATGTCCACAGTCTTTTCTGTTCTACAAGATGTCCACTGGAGGGCAGGCAGGAGCAAGAAGAGACGTGGAAATCAGAAGAGCACATTGTCTTGGGTAAAGAGTAAATGGGAGAAAATTAAAGTACCCGATTATTTGAGTTTGATAACAGTCTTCCTCATTCCCATTCATATATTTAATTATGTTGATAAATTTCCATTGTTTTTTTCAGTCAGTGGTTTAACTAACTGTTGTTTATTTCTTTGAAGTTATTTGCCTAAGGTTTCAAAAAATTGACAAAATGGAATTATGACTCCAAAGTGCCCAAAGAAAACTTATATGCTGGGAAAAATAGACATTTGCTTCTCAAGGCTCAGAGTCAAATGGGAAGATGTTAGGGCTGCTACTGCTGGGTAAAATGCCCAGGGACAGATGTGGTCACTGACCAATGGAGCCTGACAAATGGGTTCACCCTCTCAGCTCAGCTCTGTCCTCACTAATTGGCCTTAGCTCCTAACTGAGCCCCTTTAAAGAACGTGACAGATGACAGCCCTCGAAGGCTAGAGTGTTAGGGATGTGATCGTGCCTTTATAAAGCAGGGCCTTTATCACTGAATACCTGCTCACGTCCCTATTCCCTAACAATTGTGTCTCTTTCCTTACACATGCACACTCACTCAGATTGTGTTGAACAATCCAAATGCCAATGTTATGTGTCACTTAAAACCCTTCTAG